GAAATGGCTGACACCCCAGGATTCCGAGGTTCACTTCTGAGAATGTGTTCAAATTGTAGCTCTATACTCTATCCTCTAAAATTGTTACAGTAATTATATTTATTTCTGTACTCTAAAAAAAGGAGGTGAGCTCTAGAGTGACATGCATTGACCGGTGCCTAACCTTTGACTCCCTGCACTAAACTGTCTGTCATTTAGAAAAGAAGCTAAAAGAAAGGTAAGCTCTGTTGACGGGATGTTAGCAAAGCAAGCTGTACAGAGGTAGATTAGCATTTGTAATGGAAAAAAGAAGTCGCTCACTGCGTTGAATTGTGTGGAGGTGCTGACTAACGTGTTGCCCATATGGGACAACACTGTGTCCAAAAGTCTGAAATAAGGTGATGTGACATTCATGAACAATCCGATTCTTCTGAATTTCTCTTTACTAAGACGTCAGGACTGGAGATTGGGATCCGTTCTTTGTTCTTGTGATGTTCTGCGTACATTACAGCAGCTATCATTATTTTGTTTATTTATATACATTGATATTTATTTTACTAGCAAATAAATAAAACACAAGAACCCATTTCTTGTTGAAATGTGCTTTTCCATAAGAGTTTCTGAATGTTTGTGGTTCTGTTAACTTTTTTTCTTTTAATTTTGTCTGCCTTTGAAACTCACCCTAAAATATGTCGCGCATGAGCGCCTGATTCAACTGTAATGCCCAAAAATCCTACTTATTTTCATAAATTTTAAATTTTATAATAACTTTATTTGTATATGAGCATCTGAAGGCCTGACTGCCCCTAAAAAATAATTAAAAATGGCAAGAATATTCGCTTGTATCATTTTATGTATAAACTTACTTAAGAAAACTCAATGTTCAGTTTTTGGTGAACAGGCTCTAACTCTCCACTAGAGGCCGCTGTCAGCTCGTTCTGTAGAGCCAAAAACCCTGAAAGGCTTCATTAATTTCAACCAAGCAACTGCATTCAATGTATTAAAATGTAAATCCAACGGCTTGAATAGCAATCATTTGGGTATAACAGCTATACCACAAGGTCTGTGTAAGGAGAATTAATACTTTAGTTTAGTCGACTTTCAGCCTACAGGCTCCCTATCCTATCATGTGACCAGAAACAAAGCACACTGGTTTCTTCTTCACACAAACTCGTAGTTTCATTTGGCTCATTCATCTTTATTTTCTACTGCAAAACATCAGTGATTAACAAACAACAATTTCTATTCCCACTACTTGTTTTTTTGAGTGATAAAATTTTAAAGTTTCTTAAACTGTTAGTCAGAATGGGGTGGATCCGATTTATATGGTTTCCTCACCCAAACTGTGGTATCGCTTCTCGGCCTTTTGGCTAAGATCAAGTGTAGTATCTGTTCTTATCAGTTTAATATCTGATACGTCCCCTACCCGGGGACCATATATTAAATTGATTTTTGGAACAGGGAGATGGAATAGGGGCTTGCTCCGTCCACTCCACGCATCGACCTGGTATTGCAGTATCTCCAGGAACGGTGCACCCCCCTTTAATGTTAATGAAAATATTAAACTGTTCAATTTATAGGTTTATCACTTTCTCCTTATGAAGTTTTGTATTTATGAATGACCGATTTACTTCCTGCCAACCCAATACCACAACAGAGGTCAATTATCTTTTACAATTTTAAGATAGTTTTAGGTGAGATACTTGGTTACTTTCTTGCTTGCTGCTCTTTGGTCAGTGTTCATAGTTGAGCGTTGTTTACCGTCGGGGCATTGCCATGTTTAATGGTGCAGACAGTAGTGATTTCTGACATTCCCAGGGCATTATCTTTTTAGATAAGCAGAATGAAAAGTTTGTTCCGCTTGTAATATTTGTTATATTTATTTCAGCTATCAGTATTTAATATCTAGGTGTTATAGGAATGGGAATTGTTCAGATCAATTTGAAGGTGGTCTTGACTACATCAGTGCCATCCATTCAACTATCGATTTTCTGTACACACTCTCGTCCCTAGTGGGAATGGGAGGGGTGCTGGTGCCCATCTCCAGCGAACGTTGTAGGCGAGAGGCAGGGTACACCCTGGACAGGTCGCCAGTCTGTTGCAGTTACCATTTCACCTTGTTTCATAAATCAAGGCTACCTTATAACCTCTCCATGGACTGCCACATTATTATGGTGGAGGACTTTGAGTGCCCCAGTGATCCTAGGGGCTCTTCTGTCTGGAGCTTCATGCGCCTTGGTAGGGTCACCCAACGCAGACAAATCCTAGGTGAGGAACCAGACAAAGCGTGTCTCAAAGACCCCTTGTGATAAGTGAGACTGTTAGATTCAGTATTTCCTTGCCCAGACATGGGTCACTGGGGCCCCAACCTGGAGGCCCATAGTGAGAGGCGCCAGGCAGGAGTAGGCATACTTGTTGCCCCAAACTTGGTGCCTGTACATTGGGGATTACCCAGCCAAATGAGAGGGTAACATTCCTCTGTCTATGAGTGGGGGGGCGGTTTTAACTAGGGTTTAGGTTGATCTGAGCCATCCTTGGGTGGGAGTGTATAGTAGAAATGGCTGACACACCCCAGGATTCCGAGGTTCACTTCTGAGAATGTGTTCAAAATTGTAGAATACTCTATCCTCTAAAATTGTTACAGTAATTATATTTATTTCTGTACTCTAAAAAAAGGAGGTGAGCTCTAGAGTGACATGCATTGACCGGTGCCTAACCTTTGACTCCCTACACTAAACTGTCTGTCATTTAGAAAAGAAGCTAAAAGAAAGCTAAGCTCCTTTGATGGAATGTTAGCAAAGCAAGCTGTCCAGAGACAGATTAGCATTTGTGATGGAAAAAAGAAGTCGCTCACACCGTTCAATTGTGCGGAGGTGCTGTAACGTGTTGCCCATATGGGACAACACTGTGTCCAAAGTCTGCAGTGAGGTGATGTGACATTCATGAACAATCCGATTCTTCTGAATTTCTCTTTACTAAGACGTCAGGACTGGAGATTGAGAGCCGTTCTTTGTTCTTGTGATGTTCTGCGTACATTACAGCAGCTATCATTATTTTGTTTATTTATATACATTGATATTTATTTTACTAGCAAATAAATAAAACACAAGAACCCATTTCTTGTTGAAATGTGCTTTTCCATAAGAGTTTCTGAATGTTTGTGGTTCTGTTAACTTTTTTCTTTTAATTTTGTCTGCCTTTGAAACTCACCCTAAAATATGTCGCATGAGCGCCTGATTCAACTGTAATGCCCAAAAATCCTACTTATTTTCATAAATTTTAAATTTTATAATAACTTTATTTGTATATGAGCATCTGAAGGCCTGACTGCCCCTAAAAAATAATTAAAAATGGCAAGAATATTCTCTTGTATCATTTTATGTATAAACTTACTTAAGAAAACTCAATGTTCAGTTTTTGGTGAGCAGGTTCTAACTCTCCACTAGAGGCCGCTGTCAGCTCGTTCTGTAGAGCCAAAAACCCTGAAAGGCTTCATTAATTTCAACCATGCAGCTGCATTCAGTGTATTAAAATGTAAATCCAATGGCTTGAATAGCAATCATTTAGGGTATAACAGCTATACCCAAAGGTCTGTATAAGGAGAATTAATACTTTAGTTTAGTCGACTTTCAGCCTACAGGCTCCCTATCCTATCATGTGACCAGAAACAAAGCACACTGGTTTCTTCTTCACACAAACTCGTAGTTTCATTTGGCTCATTCATCTTTATTTTCTACTGCAAAACATCAGTGATTAACAAACAACAATTTCTATTTCTACTACTTGTTTTCTGAGTGATAAAATTTTAAAGTTTCTTAACAAACTGTTAGTCAGAATGGGGTGGATCCGATTTATATGGTTTCCTCACCCAAACTGTGGTATCGCTTCTCGGCCTTTTGGCTAAGATCAAGTGTAGTATCTGTTCTTATCAGTTTAATATCTGATACGTCCCCTACCCGGGGACCATATATTAAATTGATTTTTGGAACAGGGAGATGGAATAGGGGCTTGCTCCGTCCACTCCACGCATCGACCTGGTATTGCAGTACCTCCAGGAACAGTGCATCCCCCATTTAATGTTAATGAAAATATTAAACTACTAGAAATGGATTTGAAGGTTAAACTTCACTTATTATTGTCTTTATGAAGTTTTGGAATGAAAAACCTCAGTCTAATCAAGTTTTGGATTTAAAAATTGCTACTTTTTTGCTGCCTGTCAACCCAAAACCCCAACCAAGGTCAATTATCTCTTACAACTTGAAGACAGATTTAGGTGAGATATAAAATAGCCAACTTCACATTCCCTATGCAATGTATCCTAAATGAAAACACAAACCAGAAATGAAATACATGTATTAACGTCACAGTAAAAAAAAATGTTGAAAAATTGTCCAAATTCTTTTTTTGAGTTGCGTCAATCGCATGACAGTGATGCAAAATCGCTTCTCGGCCTTCTGGCTGAGACAGCGATCACCTCCTTTGGGTGGTAATAGCGGTAGTCTTTGTGACTTGGCTGTTACCACTGATTTTGAGGTAAATAGAATCTGTCCCAGGTTGAGTTCCACTACTCTAGTGTAAAATACCTCATCCTTTTAGGTCGTTTTTTATTCGTGTTTTTACGGTTTTACTTATTTATTGACTATTTATTTATTTATTTATTAGATTTTAGTAAAGGTTTTAGCGTTTCCTCTCTCACGGTGGTGCCTCCACCATGGCGGCTAGCCATGCCGGCATGCGGAGGCACCACAGCGTCCGCTTTTTATTTAATGACCGAGGAAAGGACACTGGACTGACGAGACTAGATTTTTCCCGAAAACTGATACAACAAACGCTAAAGTTTCGGCCAGATGACCTGAACTGTACCCTGACCCTGCCTTTTCAACAAGGGATACGACATAAGTTTTGTTTCCGCCGCGCTTTTAAAGGATTTTTGGACCCGGTTTGAGAACGGAAAAACCCAGTTTTTGGCATTTGACGTCGAGAAACTGACTGACAACTCCTTGAAAACGGTGATTGTCAGGATGTTCAATGAGACTGTCAGTGCCGAAGACATCTGTATGTGGCTAGGTAGATTTTGCACTGTAAAAGGCCAGGCTATGAAGGTGCGGGATGCGGACGGCATCTGGAATTGCGCTTGGCGGGTCCCCACTAAGCAGTGGGATGACCCCCAGGGCTTCCAGGGCCTGAAACATCTCCCATCCATGATAGTCCTGGGGGAGAACAGAGGCTACATTCATTACCAGGGCCAACCGAAGTTGTGTCGAAAGTGCGGCGAACACGGTCATCTGGCCGAAACTTGCGATAAAGTCTTCTGCGGTAAGTGTAGAGAGGTGGGACACACGTTTGATGAATGTACGAACGGGCGGAAATGTAACTTGTGCGGAGAACAGGACCAAAGTCGTTTGCAAATAAACTAAAAAAAGGTAAAGTTACGGAAATAGAAAATGTAACGGAACAAGTCGGCGTTGCTGGGCCGGAAAATTCAAATTTCCCGCCAAGCCTTCTGATTTGAGGAGGAGAGGAGAAATTGGCGGGAAACGGGGACAGCCAGGCCTCCTTTTTAGAACTTGCTCACCAATCAACCCCGAAGGACCCAAATAAGGTACCGGCTTTAGAAAAAAGACCAAACCCGAGAGTCCGGAGGGGGACCGGAGCTCCGGCCTGCCCCGTACACCCATACGGGGCGGAGGACGAGCTCCGTCCACAGGACAGTCTCTGAGCTAGGCGCTAATTAAGGACACGCCCGTTCGTACTGATAACCGTTTTATTCCTTTAAAATGTCTTACCTGTTTTTAACCATAATACTCATGGCTCTCACCTTCTCAACCATTAATGTTAGAAGTGTGAAGTCGCAAGTTAAAGCGCAGAGTGTTTTATCCTTTTTAAGCTCCGTTCAGTCGGATGTGTTTTTATTACAAGAATGTGCACTCTCGTTTTTAAAGAACTACACCCGGTGGCAGGATTATGGCCACGACCGTCAATATGGAGCGGCTCAAACGAAAACAAAAATGACGGCGTGGCCATTTTAATTAACAACCCACACATCTTGGTGAAGGGCAGCACTGTGGTGAAAGAGGGACGAGCACTTTTAGCAAATCTGACTTTTAACGGACAGGATTTTAACCTCTTAAATATTTATGGTTTTAGTGATAAACATGCCGGGTATGACTTTTTAGAGGAACTGCAGCCCCACATGCTAGGAAGAAAGCCTTTAATAGTTGGGGGGGATTTTAATTGCATTTTAACGAGAAAAGATAGGAAAGGAGACAAGCAGGATTTTAAGTTTGACAAAACATCGCTTTTATTACAAAGAATAGTTAGGGATTTTAAATTGATGGACTGTTTTAGAACTATGCATCCTGGAGAGGAGGGCTTCACCTGGGTCAGTGATGACAGCTCTAAAGCCTCTCGCATCGATTATTTCTTCATCTGGGATTGCGCCCTAACCGATGCTAGATTGTCACCGGTTTTCTTTTCCGATCACCTCCTTCTGTCCTGCACGCTTTCACTCCCTTCAGGTGCGAAGACAGGGAGAGGTCTGTGGAAACTCAACCGCTCCCTGCTGGAGGACCAGGTTCTGGTCGGCCAGTACCGGGAGCGGTACCGCGAGTGGCAGACCCTCCAAGACCTGTACGATACACGAGCACAGTGGTGGGAGATGGTGAAGGGTAGGACCCAGACTTTCTTCCGACTGGCAGGGAAAAACAAAAAGAAGAAAGAACAGAGATGCATGATGGGGCTCCAGAAGAGATTACAAAGGTATTATTTTTTAAATCAACATGGTTTGGATTTTAATAAAGAAATAAGAGAAGTAAAAAAAGAAATGAGCATTTTAGCAGAAATAAAAGTAAGGGAGTCATTTTAAGAAGTAGAGAAAGAGAAATAGAAGAAGGAAAAAAATGTACCAGATACTTTTTTAAGAAAATAATAAATAATCAAAGTTTTATTCCTGAACTGAAATCAAACAATGGCAACATAGTAACAGAGATAGAGGAAAAGAAGAAAGTAATTGAAACATTTTATGGTGAATATATGCAGAAAAAACAGTAAACGAAGACAACATAAGAGAAACTTTGGATTTTATTGAAAAAAGTATCACAGAAAGTAGTTTTTTAGAGCAGGATTTTACCCTTTTAGAGCTTTTAGAATCATTGAAAGGTTTTAAAAGGAAAATCTCCAGGCCCTGATGGACTCCCTTTAGAATTTTATCAGACTTTTTGGGACATTTTAGCACCAGATTTAATTGTTGTTTTTACGGATTTTAGCAAACTAGACACACTCCCCCGTAGTTTTAGAACAGGAATAGTGACGCTTTTACATAAAGATAATAACAAAACGGACTTACAAAAACTGGAGGCCCATCACACTTTTAAAAGTAGATTGTAAGCTTTTTAGCAAGATTTTAGCAGCTAGGATGCGCCGAGTGTTGGGGGATCTAATCCACCCGGATCAAGCCTGCGCCGTGCCAGAGAGGAAGATCATGGACAGCCTGGTACTGATCTGAGACACCATCTGTTTTGCGAGAGACAGAAACATTCGGCTGATAGTCCTAAATTTAGATTTTGAGAAAGCTTTTGATCGGGTCTCGCACCAGTACCTTTTCCAGGTACTGCGAAAAAAGGGATTTCCAGGGAGGTTTGTAGCGTAGGTGGGACTGCTGTATCGAGATATCTCCAGCAGATTCCTAGCTAACGGGTTTCTGACAAAAGCAGTGAAAATGAACTGCGGTGTCCGTCAGGGGTGTCCGTTATCTGCCCTCCTCTACGTGGCCTGCATCGAACCGCTGGCGCAGGTCTTGAGAAGGGACCCACAGATTTTAGGAGTCAAGATACCGGGGAGTGGAGGGCAGGAGGCCAAATGTCTTTTATATATGGATGATTGTAACATTTTATGTACAGATCTTTTATCAGTGGAGAGGCTTTTACAGTTAACAGAGTGGTTCGGGAAAGCGTCGGGTTCAAAACTAAACAAAGAAAAAACGAAAGCGCAATTTTACGGCCCATGGAAAAATAGTGACAAGACAAAAATACAACTGCAGATACAAGACGAACAAAAAATACTAGGAGTATAATTTGACAAAAATGGAGGGGGAGAGACAAACTGGACGGATATAATAAAAAGAGTAAAACAAAGACTGGGGTTTTGGGAAATGAGAAGCTTAACAATAGAAGGAAAGATTTTAATAGTCAAAGATGTGATTTTACCTCTGTTTTTACTAACCAGTTCTGTTTTTATCCCTCCTAGGAGAGTGTTTTTAGCGCTGCAAAGAGCCATTTTTTAATTTTATCTGGAACTCCAAGTGGGAAAGATTGAAAAGAGACATAATGTTTAAACCGAAAGAAAAGGGAGGGAAAGGAGTTCCAGATCTGTTTTTATTTCTAGGCAGCTTTTATACCAGCACCCATTTTAAACAAGCCCTAAACATCTCCACAAATGAAAAGTCAAATGCTATGACAAGGTTTTGGATGGGATCATATTTAAGAAAATTAAAACTTTTAAAAAGTGATTTTAGAACCCCTGTGGCTTTTAACCTCCCACCGTCTTATGCTTTTATACAGAGTTTTTTAGAACATTTTAAGCTGGAAGGAGAGGAGAGCAGGATTTTAACATCGAACACCTCCTTTGGGTGGTAATAGCGGTAGTCTTTGTGACTTGGCTGTTACCACTGATTTAGAGGTAAATAGAATCTGTCCCAGGTTAAGTTGTTTTTCACTACTCTAGTATAAAATACCTCATCCTTTTAGGTCGTTTTTTATTTGTGTTTTTACGGTTTTACTTATTTATTGACCATTTATTTATTTATTTATTAGATTTTAGTAAAGGTTTTAGCGTTTCATCTCTCACGGTGGTGCCTCCACCATGGCGGCTAGCCATGCCGGCATGCGGAGGCACCACAGCGTCCGCTTTTTATTTAACGACCGAGGAAAGGACACCGGACTGACGAGATTGGATTTTTCCAGAAAATTGATTCAGCAAACGCTAAAGTTTCGGCCAGATGACCTGAATTGTATCCTTACCCTGCCTTTCAACAAGGGATACGACCTCAGTTTTGCTTCCGCCGCACTTTTAAAAGATTTTTGGACCCGTTTTGAGAATGCGAAAACCAGTTTTCGGCATTTGACGTCGAGAAACTGACTGACAACTCCCTGAAAACGGTGATTGTCAGGATGTTCAATGAGACTGTCAGTGCCGAAGACATCTGTATGTGGCTGGGTAGATTTTGCACTGTGAAAGGCCAGGCTATGAAGGTGCGGGATGCGGACGGCATCTGGAATTGCGCTTGGAGGGTCCCCATTAAGCAGTGGGATGACCCCCAGGGCTTCCAGGGCCTGAAACATCTCCCATCCATGATAGTCCTGGGGGAGAACAGAGGCTACATTCATTACCAGGGCCAACCGAAGTTGTGTCGAAAGTGCGGCAAACACGGTCATCTGGCCGAAACTTGCGATAAAGTCTTCTGCGGTAAGTGTAGAGAGGTGGGACACACTTTTGAGGAATGTACGAACGGGCGGAAATGTAACTTGTGCGGAGAACAGGACCATTTGTTCAGATACTGTCCAAAGTCGTTTGCAAATAAACTAAAAAAAGGTAAAGTAACGGAAACAGGAAATGTAACGGAACAAGTCGGCGTTGCTGGGCCAGAAAATTCAAATTTCCCGCCAAGCCCTCTGATTGGAGGAGGAGAGGAGAAATTGGCGGGAAGTGGGGAGGGGAAGGAAGCCCCCACCCCCCAACTCGAAACATCCAGCGAGGGGTGGGGGAGATGCAGACCGAAGGCGGAGCTAGCTCGGACTCTGAGGAGTCCCAGAGGGACAGCAGCGATGATGCCCCCCTCCCCGACGCCCAGCTGGCCAAGAGGCCGGCATTGGAGTCCCCGCCTGACGTCACCAACACGGCGGAGAAGAGGGGGAGAATGGAGGAACTCTTCAGTTCACTTGGGGAGGAATCCATGTTCTCCCCCTCTGACTCATTCAGCCAGGCCTCCTTTTTAGAACTTGCTCACCAATCAACCCCGAAGGACCCAAATGAGGCTTTAGAAAAACAACCAAAACCAAGAGTCCGAACGGGGATCGGAGCTCCGGCCTGCCCCATTCACCCATGCGGGGCGGAGGACTAGCTCCGTTCACAGGACAGTGTCTGAACCCGGCGTTAAAGACCTGCCTGTTTGTACCGTTTTAACTGTTTTATTCCTTTATAATGTCTTACCTGTTTTTAACCATAATACTCATTGTATTGACTATTTGTCCCGAACTTAATTCCAAAAATCAAAAAAATTCAAATCTCAAAAAATGACCAAAGAAAAATAAAATACATTCAAACAGCCAATACTGTGCATCGTGGGTTTTGGTTTACACAGTCCAAACAAAAGGTCAAACAGTCAAAATGCAATTCTTTGTTTGCTTTTTTCGGCCTTTAACCAAGAACAAGTTACAGGCTTTGGACAACCTGCCCTAACTCCTGCATCTTTTCTGATTGATAAACTTGACTGATGACGAACAAACAGACAGACTGACCGACCGGTAAAAAACCATATGACCACCCACGTGACCAAGACTCATCTAAACGATACATATTTATACTGTGAAACACACCCACTTCCCA